GAAAAACAATCGAAGCTTCTTCGGCAAGGTAGAATAACAAGATAGTTTAAGCTTTACATATTAATTTGTATTGCAGGCGTTAATTACCTGTCGAACATCTAATATTGAATTTAAAAAATTGGTTGGTTCGATAAGAGCTTTACACAAGACAGATTGATTATTTATTATTGTTATTGTTATTATTTTTTACATAATTGTTAGAAAAATTATAATTATTGACCTCCCCGAGTCAATCTAAAATACACAACAATTACGTAACATGAGAAAGACTCGAAAAAGGTATCGTATGCTGTTCTCTGACTAGCAAACAATAAATTAAACAACAAAATGCGCTCTAGAATTATTTCTACCAACAGTCAACAGGCCAAGTATGGTCAAAAGTCGAAGAAAATGTTGAAATTTTGGTCAACAACAACACTTATATTTTTTTAGCTACATATACTTTTTTATTATTATGATAGATAGCCTGTAAAATTAAGTATTATTTTTGAGAAAAAAGTTATCTAACATATTATTACGGAGATATTACATTACACAAAGTTACAATGCCATACGTTCTCCGAGTCTACTGAAAAACAGCATACTCTCTGAAAACATACTATACACTCGTAAGCGATTTTTATCAGTACTATAAACATTTCACAACATTTTAGACAGGTTCAATAATCCTAAAAAATATATCTCGAATGTGTATTTTTATTTAATAAACTAAGATATTATTGTATACATGATGTGCAATTATGTTAACACTACAACAATCCCGTTATAATCTTCCGCCCGTGTTTCGGTAATCCTTGGCCTCTTCCGCTTTCTTGAGGATGTGGCAGACAGTCGCGGTGCACCGAACACCTTTTCGTTCGTCCGCGTCCGAGTTCGAGTCCGATACGGAAGGCCGTTGTTGAGGGAAGCTTGTATAACAGGAGCCCCCCGAAGGACACCAAATTTTAAAAATATTTTAAAAATAATAAAAGTTTTCTAAAACAAAGCCGTTTAATCCAAAGGCTTTTTTTTCGATCAACAAAGATGTTTTTTGTGTGAATGGGGGCACGACAAACTACCCGCGGGTGATTTGTCTTTTCGATAGAACCATGGCCCCGTACAAGGTGTAAAAGAATATAAAATTGTTTTTAATAAATATTGGTTTTAAAGCAAAGCCATTTTGTTGATAAAAGATGTTTTTTGTGTGAATGGGCCCGTGTTAACCCACCCATCGGATGATTTGGCTTTTTGATAGACCCCTTACAAAAAGTTTTGGCTTTAAAATATAGTAACCGTTGTAAAAATATTTGGAAAATAAATCCATCGTAATTAATATGTAAATGTAAGGATCGCGCTGACAAGGAAAATGATGGGATTAAATAGATTTTACAAATTCTCGCAACGCTTGCTAAAGTTCAACGCAAGGCGTGTTTAATGAAACGCAAAACTCTATAAGGGTTTGATCTCATTATTGGTAACAATTGTTTCGAATGTATCATCTGAGATTCGTATGCTTTGTGACTATGGTTGTCATCCTTTATGGAATGTCAGTCTTTCCAAACCAAAATATAAAAATTTTTTTTCCGGAGAGCCTTTTTAGTATTAGCGCATTGTGTGATGCAATCGCGCGTGTCAGATTGTCAAATATGTCGAACTGCTCATTATTACTTTGATGTAACCATCGTGTGCAAAACTTAAATTCTGATTGTTTCGGATTTTAACTCAACAACCAGATTAATCAAGCGTTCAAGAAATAGTCATGGTAAGATTGTCTCAAAGATGATGGAACAATAATACATGCATTCATGATGCAAATAATCCGATTATTGTGTTTCATACTGTCCTATTCTAGTATCAAGTAAAAAATATTAAATCGAAATTTACAAGAAATCTTGCGGAAAGTCGAATTAACAAAATTAACGGTTAACAATCGCCCAGGACAAGATTAAAATTTGAGATTATAAGAAGAGGCGCTGCAACTGAGGTAGGAACGTACCATCAGGCCTTGGGGGGACTGACGTCAAGCAGTATCTCGAACAATCCTTTCTCGATGAATCACGATACGTTTCATCAACCAAAGACAATTGATTCCTCATATAGCACCTTTATTTATACTGACCCAATTTTGATTACATTCCGCGCCCTTCTTCACACCAATGCGAAACCCACTATCATCTGCTTCCTGTGCTGCTTTCCGCGTCAATTGATGAAGACGAGCTATCATAATCTGTCGCAGAATCGATAAATGACACTAGCTTTGTATCGAAGTGCCTGCATCGATGTTCAGGTTCACTTAATAGCCGAACGGAGCAGCCATGAAAGTAGTAGCCAAGTTTATATAGCCTGCACTTGACGACGCGAACTTGGACAACAGACCTATCAATAATAAACCACCATCCACCATAGCATTATCTGATGGAAATGGAGGCGGCATAGAACTGTAGAACGCTACCCGAGGAGAAAAAGACTGTTAACAGGGCTTGCCAGGTTGTCCAGATTTCTCTTAAGCAATAACCAACAATTTTGTTTTCACCTACCTGGTCGTGCCTGCATAGAGGGGACAATGCGCGACGGTCCACAGAGTCGGAGGAAACGTGAATTTATAACGGGTGGGTTGCCCAACACAAGTCAGCAATTTTGTGGTCGATGATAAACTACAAAACATTCGATTTCAATTATGATTGTATAACTACAGGAACAAGACTTGA